GGGTTTAGGGTTTAGGGTCCTGAAGCGGTGGGACGCCGCACAGGCCCACTTCCGCTGCCTAGCGCTAGATCTAGCAAGCTGTCGCTCTGTCTCCCTCTCTCTCTCTATCTCTCGCACTCTCTATCTCTCTCTCTATCTCTCGCACTCTCTTTGAATCCCTCGCCCTGTCGCCATTAAGAACATATATATATATATACATACAAATGACTATATGGTCGTCTATGTGTACATATATATACACACACACGTGCCCACTTGTATGTTATATGCATAGCAAGAGCTTAAAACAATCGTCATAAACAGAAGGGGAGAAACAACAAAGAAACCCCTAAACCAGAAAGCCCTCAACCCTAAAATGTTACACCCTAAACCTTGAACTACCGTTCGGCCAGGTGGCAATGGCGGCAGCGAAGCGCGTCCTGGAAAATTCGGAGATTGCTCTCTCCGCCTCCTGCGTGTGGGTGGGGCTGAGGGCTTAGGGTTTAGGATTTAGGGTTTAGGGCTTGGGGTTTGGGGTTTAGGGTTTAGGGCTTCGGGTTTGGGGTTTAGGGTTTAGGGCTTCGGGCTTAGGGTTTTTGGTTTAGGGCTTGGGCTTTCTGGTTTAGGAGTTTAAGGTTTAGGGCTGGGGGTTTAGGGCTTACCGTTTAGGGCCGAGAGCTCAGAAGGATTCAGAGGCTGGTACGCTTTGGCCTTGAAACCGATTGAATTAGTGTCGGAATCGGGGCTTGCAGATTCTTGCGCGACAGGATTCACTGGCTGTAAGGACCCTAACGCCTAAACCCTAAACCCTAAACCCTAAACCCTAAAGGGGCTGAGAGGGGTTTCCGGTTGGGGAGGGAGGTTGGATTGGAAGTTGAAGGTCAAGCGAGGTGCCGACAGCAGGGAAATTACATGAATTTCAGGGTTGGGGGTTTAGGGTTAGGGTTTATATTACATAGTGTAGCGTTGCTTCTAAACCTCGGCTCGGGCTGAGTTCTGTTCTTGGGCAGGTGTGCGAGCACCAGCACCAGCACGACGAACTTCTGCGGAGGATGCAGGGCGCTGTGCATTCGCTTGTCCGGATGCTGGAACAAAGGCCGGAGGAGCGGCGGCGCTGTTTACTGCCCGGCTCATGTTGTTCAAGGCAACCGTCGCCATCTTCTGACCTGCATCGCCGAAAAACCTTTCCGCCCTGACCCTAAACCCTAAACCCTAAACCCTAAACCCTAAACCCTAAACCCAGCTGTCTGTGGGCATCCTCGAACTTGCACATGTACTCTCTAGCAGCTTAGAGGTTCATCTCGAGGGATGTAGGATTAAGGCTGGAGGGTGGCAGGATGTATGAACCGAGTCTGGGGTTTGGGGTCTAATTTGGGGCCTTAATACTTGGAGCTTGGTTCTTGGATGTTTTTTGGTCATATGCGCAAATTATTTTTGATGTCTGGGGACTACAGGGAAATTGTGGAGAGTGTCTGCCTCTTGGGCTGCCGTCGCGGATTTCGAACATGTGGTTTGTGGGGCTTGTCGCTCGGAGGGCATCGGGCTTGGGGAGATCCCGTGTAGTATCCCGGAAGAATGTGCTCAAGACTTAGTTGCCTCAAGCTTGAAGGGGGCATCTGATCCGATCTCCGGGCATAAACAAGATGTCCCAACAAGAAAACGTTGACGTCCTAGGGAAGAGTAACCTAAACCCTCAAGTACAAACACCTAAGGAAGATTCTCCTGAGGATGTTTACATGCAGGCAAAACAGGGATGTCATACACCGCGCGGTCCGAAACGTGGTTGGCGAAGTCGATTACCTGCCAGCCACGTGATTTAGCTCCGCACGAGCGCTGAGGTCTCTCTAGCCCTCGCTCTCAGCCGGTATTCGTCCCTCCATGTTCTCGCCTAACCTTACCGATCCCTTCAGCTGTGTCTGTGTCCTTCTCTTTATTTTGTCTCTTCGTCTGCTTCACGGACTCTGTTCCATCGTCAACTCTGCTTTGGAAAGCTTATTCAACCAACAATCCTACTGAGTCTATACCCTACGGTCTGGATAAGAGCAGGGCCGGCCCTTAAACCTCAAACCCCTAAACCCGAAAAAAACCCTAAACCCTAAACCCAAAACCCTAAACCTCAAACCCCTAAACCCGAAACCCCCCTAAACCGCTCAGGATGATCTTCAGTCGAAGCTGGTGGCTTTGGATGGGGTGCGGACGAATCTATCTACGTCGCGAGCCAGGGCTCAAAATTCGATGTACTTTATATGGGTAGCTCTCTAAATTAGGGTCCCTTTTGGGATCCCGTTTATAAGGGTGCCGTACTATATTGGTGACCTAAAAAGGGACCCTAACTTAGAGAAGTACCCATATGTTTTACATACCTGCACGGGACAGTCTTGCTGCAAGGACATGCCACCGCACAACGCAGCATCAATCCGATGCCCGATGCCAGAAGAAGGTAGCTGTCAATTTCCAATATGAGCTGGGTGGAGTCGGCGTTTGGACCACAAGGGCTTGAACGAATGTATGAGGCAGCACAAAGGATGGTGAAATATGGAAAGAGGACAGCTGACAAATACAACCGGACCAAAGATTAGATGACCCCAAAGCGCTAAGCTCCAGTGACTCCTCTACCCTAAAGCCAAGGCCCTAAGCCCTAAGCCCTAAGCGCTAAGCCCAAAGCCCTACGCCCTAAACCCTAAACCCTAGCTAAACCCTAAGCCCTGAACCTTACCCTGGACCTTGAAACCACACAGGGATTCAAGCTGTGGATTTCCCAGTAGCCCTCCAAGAATCGCTATGATGGCCTGCCCGAATCAATTTAAAGATAGGTCTTCGGACCCCAGACGCTATGCCTACACCCTGAACCCTGAATTTTTGTGGCTCAATTGCAACTGGCCTTCGGGAAGGTCTTGCCACCTGCACGCAGAAAAAGGCAAGGGGACGTCTGCAAACGAACTGTCTAGAATTGGAAGTGTAAAGACTTCAGGTTTCATTAGGATCCAGGGCTTAGGGTTTAGGGGTTAATGTAGGGGCCTAAATAATTACCAATACTATAATGGGATTCCTTATTACAATTACAGTATAAGGGGCCCAAAAACCATATCAAAATTATGCAAAGCGCCTATATTAGGGTTCAAGGGTTCCCCGGCTTTTAGTATGGAATGGATCCCTTGATAACCCCTACGTATATATAGTCATGTAAGGGCCTTCATAAGTAGAATAGGGTTTCGGGGTTCCTTATTATAACTATAGTATAATATACCCCCAAATCCTATGTTAATTATTAAGACCCCTATATTAGTGTTTATAACCCTTTCCCCAATTCCCTACAAAGAACCCGGGAGTAGTCAGGGTAGGATTCAGGGTTTAGGGTTTAAGGTTTAGGGTCAAGGTGGATAAGGGCTAAGGGCTTAGGGTGAAGGGCTTAGAATTGCTTGGAGGTTTCGGGCTCAAAGTTTAGAGAGATTAGGGTTATGTGGAGCATAGACAGTGGTTCCACTTGCAATGCTTTGAAATACACCTTCGGAGCAAAAAATCAGTCGCTTCGCCTCCAGACTTTCGGAAGGGTCTAGCGCGTTTAGGGTTTCGGGTTCAAGACTTAGGGATTAAAGCATAAACCCTAAACCCTGAAACGTTTTAGGGTTTCGGGTTTAAGGTTTCAGCTTGCCCCCAGGTGGCATTCGGGGCCCGACTTTGGAATTTGTAGCTTCGGGTTTGGGCTCCGGGAGTCGTCCTGATCCCTAGCAACCTATACCGAAACCCGTAGGGTGTAGGGTTCAATATAAGGGCCTTAATAATTAGAATAGGGTTTTGGGGTATATTATACTATAATTATAGGAAGGGGCCCCCAAAATAGTATTGGTAATTAAATACGGTAATTATTAAGGCCCCTACATTAGGGCTGGTTTGAGACGCTTCTAGCACTGTCTACCCCAAAAGCCCAAAGGCCTAAGCATCCTAAAGCTGTTGAGCCCTAAAGTCGTAAAACCTTCTAAACACTGAACCAAAACGAGCACCGATACCCCCCCAAAGTCAACCGGCCTTACCTCTATAAGGGCCGAGTACCTCGCGCCAAAAAAAAATTGATCTTGTAATGATGGTGGGCTCTATACATATATATATACATATATATACATATACTCGACAATGGTTCAAGGTGAGCAACCCAGCCACTAAGCCTCTGCGGCGGTTGGCTCGGCTGTAGATCTGGACGAGCTTCTCATCCGAACCGATCCTTGCAATGGGTGGCTCTCTCTAAATTTAGGATTTCTTGTTGAAGCTGGGTTCGGGACTGAAACCCCAGGGTCATAGTGTCAGGTGGCTAGAACAGGACATCCAATGCTGCTATTCTGCACCTCTGCAAACCAGAGCAGCCACATCCTGATCTTGGCTTGGCTAGCTGTCAGCTGGCTCAGTAGTCTAAACCCGAAATCCTAAACCCAAACCCTCTAAGGACAATAGGAGGGACCCCTAATAGGGACCCTTAATCCCATTACCTTAAATAACTTGTATAGTCCTTATATACCCCTTANNAGCCAGGTAGTCTCCACATTAACCCCAATAACCTACAAGGGTCCCTATTAAGGGTCCCTCTGACACCCCTAAACCCTAAACCGGGGCTCCAAGCCTGGGTGTGCAGACGTATGCTTCTGCAGTCTTGTAGTCCCGTGCCAGCAAGTGCCCCTCAGCAACCCAAACCGGCTGAACGACAGTTCCTAATAGAAAAGCTCTCACGGCTCAAACAAAAACTCATAAAACACTTCCAGAACCATACAAAAAGGTACTACAAGCTACCAAACTGATCCCAGGTCCCCGTGAACCCCCCACCTTCACTTCAACGCTATGGGTTTGGGTGGCTTTGAAGCTATGAACGTAGTAGGGAATTTGAAGACATCCTACAAGTTCTACAAATTCTTCAGGCGCAAGCTCTTTGTTCTTATCAGGTTTTTGCTGAACTGTACAGGGAATAATGATGTTGATGGACTAGTAGTCCCTTCTTATGGACTTATTTGCTTACTCTCGCTTTCAATCTGCAGAGAGTCTTGCGGTCAACGCCCAAGAGCGTCACAGCACTGTTGTCGTAGCCAGTTTCCTGAGAAGTTGGCAGAGGGCCGAGGCTGAAAAATGCAGGATCTATGGTTTGCGACTACTAAGGTCACCCATCCCTAAACCAAGTCAGAAAGTGCCGACAGGCAGCAGAAGAAGCAGCCTAAAGTTCATCTCCTCCAACTAGAGAACGCTGAACCCCAACCTTCAGTTATTCCATGTCAGGCCTTGAACCTCTAAGCCCGATACCCCTCAGTCCTCCAAGGCCACAACCCCCAAACCCCGAATCCGAAACCTCTAAATCCCTGAAGCTCAGCAAGCCTATTCGCCTAAAAACCTAAACCATAAGCCCTAAACCCTAAACCCAAAGCCGTGGATTATTCCCAAAGGCCCTAAACCGCAACCTGCCAGCCCCGAAGCGCCTCAGAGCCCTAAGAAAGCTGTATACCGCCTCCAACAAAGACTGAGATACCCTTTCAGAAACCCCGAACCCTAAAAACCCTAAACCCTAAACCCTAAACCCTAAACCCTAAACCCTAAACCCTAAACCCTAAAAACACTAAACCCTAAATCCTAAAACCTAAAACCTAAACCCTAAAGCCTATAAGCCTCAACTCTAAAGGCCACCACCCTGCAGGCCATCCCCGAGCTTCGAAGCGATCGCACACCACGAGGATGTCCGCTTTCTTGTGAGCCTCCTCGGAATTGAAGGGCCTTAGGGGTCTTTATGGGTTTAGGGTTTAGGGTCTAAGGTTTAGGGTTTAGGCTCTAGGGTTTAGGGTTTAGGGTCTAGGGTTGAGGGTTGTTTGGGGTTTTTAATGGGGTTTAAATAGCTTCTGCAAGGGTTTTATCGGACTCCAGGGCTTCAGTTTCTTAACAGGGTTATTTAGATGCAGTTTATACAGGGTCTTTGAGGGCCCTAGTAGGGTTTCAGAGGGCTCCAGGGTTTACGGCTTTTTGTTGGGGGGTTTACACTTGAATAATCAGCCAGCGCAGTCTTAATGACATCCAAGAGACTCTAATCCTACTTGCTTGCGGGTTGAAGGAGGCTTATAGGATTGCGTATGCATTTGGGGGATTTCGAGCCTCCTTAATGTACGCCTTTGATTAACAAATGGGGTGGGATTAATAAAATAATTATTCGGGCCCGTTCTGCGGATCGCCTTCTGGGAAGACTACAAGCCTGCAACCGGTCCCCGGATGCCCAAACAATTAAATGGGGTTGTAATAATAAAA